ACTCCTTCCAAATCACCTCTAACTTTCCAACCACCATCTTTGCCTTGTGTTCTTCCCAAGAATAAAAAAATCGTACCGTATTGGCGCTTGAACCGCAAATATATATACTGAAGCCAAATATGGAATGGTACAAGCAACAATTGTAAGAAACCCGTGTCAGTCAGGTTTAGAGGTTGAACCTATGAGCTGTGGTATTCTTAAAGGTTCTAACCATGTTAAACAGCTAAAAAAAATTACAAAATTTTTGCAACCTCAAAACGACCTTATTTTGAGAGAAAGTTAGCCAAAAAAAAAATGAAAATCAAGCAGAGTCCTCCTCTCCAACACAACCCCTAATTCTTTAAATTCTCATCCCTATTGAACAAGATCTCTCTCTCTCAATGGTTTGGATTCGTCCTAGTGATGCCGATAAACAACGATGTTGGAGTTTTTCTTGTATTGTTTTGACTTGCGAAGGGACAAGAGAGACAAGTTAACTTGAGGGGAGAAAGGTTTTCTTTCACCCGCTATATGCATTAGATTGCGGATCTAGGTATGTAGGGATAAGGGATTCACAAGTTGGGATAAAAAGTAATGTTTGCACTTTGAAATTGGGTTTAGTTGTAAGTTTTATTAAAATCTTCTTTAGTGCCTTAGTTCCTCATGTTTAGTTAGTTAGTATTGGACCCATTGTTATCCTGTACATATTTTTTCGGTACGTTATTTTAATAAAACTATATTATTTTATTTCAAAAATGGTATATTAGCAGTATGAAATGGTTGAAACACGATCTTACCACAAAATACCTTACCATAGAATAATATGGTACAACATCTGGTACGATTTTTCAATTTTTGGTTCTTCCACCATCACAAAAAATATGATATTGTTATACCACACTAATTCAACTTGTATTTGCTTACCAAGTGCATGAATATGCATGTTGTAGTCTCTAGGTCTGTTCTACGCATTTTATTTCTTTTTGGGTATTATCTTGCTATTTTTAGGCAAAGGCAAACTTAAGGACCCAAGATTATTTGTATAATGATTTAGTGATAATATATTATGATTGAGTTGTTTTCTCTTTTATTGTATTTTCAAATATGGATTAAATTTTTATAATTTTCCATGATTGATTTAACGAAATATCCGACACTTTAGCTTTTATCATATCTTATATCCTACCAATTATATAAGGAGGTTCTCGGTGAGAACTGTCACGGACATAGACTACCGAAGCCTGTGCGGCGTCTTGAGGTGCACTCATTCCTCAAGACCAGCCTCTCTGCACACGCATGTCAACTGGTTTCGCCCTGCCTTGGGCTCATCAGGGAGACGACAATAGCCTCCGACCAGCTGTGCCTTCTCTTGCAACGATACCCTTCATAGCCACATCCTAACTCGACCAGATGCGATGCACAGGCAGACAACACCTTATCGCTAATGTCGCCCCCTTTACCCTTCTCATGGCAAGACAACCAGATGGCAGAGTTCTTCAGACGATCAACACGGTCATGACATTTCGGGTCGTGACATTCTCCACCACTCATAATGCAGCACGTCCTCGTGCTGGTGAAGAATGCTTCTCTCCGCAGCATGTATTGCAACTCTCGAACCGATTGTGGGCGTCTGCCAACGAGATCTTGCAAGCAATGAAGCTAAGGCAAGGGAGGTGTCTGCCAAAGAGCCACGACGAGGGCGTCGTGGATTGATTGGAGGAGAATGTCACCAACGAGGCTCAAGAGTCGAGAGAGCTGCTCGAGATCGATGGAGGCATTTCGTAGCAAGGACGCGACGAGGGCATCGCGAAAATAGGTGGGGGAGAATGTCACGCGTGATGGGTGACATGGCGAGTGATGTGGCGGATCATGACCAAGTCAAGCACGTGTGGCGTTATAGAAGACCTAGTAGCATAGGATGCTCCTAGGATTCTCCATCTTGAATATGAGCTTAATGGTGCACATAAAGAGCCACATTATGAGGTGGTATAATGGTGTGCATTATGGGGGGAACTTAATAGGGTGTAGTAATGGGGAGGGACCATTATGAGGGGCATTGATGCCTTGTATGAGGAGAGGCCTATATAAGGAGCCATCTCCCTCATTTGTAACTCATCCATCATTTTTGTGAGCAATACAACTATAAAGTTTCTCCCATCTTCTTGTGTCTTCTTCTTGTGAGTTGAGTGAGTTGGAGAGCTTGTGAGAAGGCTGCCTAGCATCTCTAACGGAATTGAGAGCTAGGGCCGCACGACCAAGAGTAAGGCCGTGACAAGTGGTATCAGAGCCTGGTTAGGCTGAAGAGCCTAGTTCCTCTCTCAGTACGACATAGGTCGTGTATGGGCCGACCCTATGCCCGAATGAGAGGCAGTCCTGGGTGTGCATATCAGGTGGTCCGGACGCATATACACATGTGTTGCGCCGTTGTGGGGTACCTTGACAGGCTGAAGATGCAGCGGTCGAGAATGCCGTTCAACCGAGGAACTAATGCTAGCGGGAGCGTAGGGTGAAGGTCGATTGAGGTACAAACGCTGGGAGTAGCGTAGGGTGAAGGTCGACTGAGGTACTAGCGCAACAGAAGCAAAGAGTGAAGGTTGATGTCGAGGGGCGAAGCGGTATGTGCACGGGGCACAGCAGGCTAGCGCGAGGACGCGACCAGAGCCTGTCCATCAGAGGATGGTATCGTATGCGGACGCCGATAATCGGTTCGAGAGTTGCAATACATGCTGCGAAGAGAAGCATTCTTCACCAGCACGAGGACTTATTGATCGTCTGAAGAACGCTGCCATCTGTTTGTCTTGCCATGAGAAGGGTAAAGGGGGCGACATTAGTGATAAGGCGTTGTCTGCCTGTGCATCGCATCTGGTCGAGTCAGGATGTGGCTATGAAGGGATCGTTGCAAGAGAATGCACAACTGGTCGGAGGCTATTGCCGTCTCCCTGATAAGCCCAAGGCAGGGCGAAACCAGTTGGCATGCGTATGCAGAGAGACTGGTCTTGAGGAATGAGTGCACCTCAAGACGCCGCACGGATTTCGGAAGTCTATGTCCGTGACAGAACTCTCCCAATTCAATTTTTCTGGCCTATGCGCACAATACGGGAGGAGTATTTGGTCTTTTTATTGTTTGATTGTTTCGCTACTATTTGATGAGTTATTAGACAAATTAATAATTTGAGATACAAATAAAAAACTTATTAAATTCGGGATTGTCCTAAAAGACAACTGAAGCTCCAATTCTTGCAGAATCATTGTTTTTATTCAAGCTCCACTACTTAACTTAGCTGCCGCAATTCTAACTTATCCCTGCACAATTTATTACAAGATACGAATCGAGACAAGTCAACCCATATGTGTATGTAATTTAAAGTAAAAATAATAAAATGATTGTTTTTTATTAAAAAAAAGAAACAAACTGTATCATAATAAAATATAGTTAAGCTATTCAAGAAATTGATATTCTCGCTTACTAACAACTTTATTGTTGCCAAATTATAAGGCAGTAAAATAACATCTCAAGTAATCTAAGTAAAATTATATATAATTTTGACAAAAACGCATCGAAAATGGAGGATGCCAAAAAGAGTCAGGTCGAGAAGAGTATTCATACTCACCCGCCCTACATACAAAATATGCATTATCCACTTTAAAACATGTCAAAATAGATCGGATAAAATGAGTTAGGTCAAAGTTGCCATCTCTACAACAACAACAAATACTTATGGATGGATGGTTAGTTAAATTGTTATGAATTCCTTGCTATGTGATGTTTACTTATATTCTCCAAGGTGGGTTCTGCATGTTGAAGCAAATAGTTTCACACTACTATGCCCAAAAAAACGACAACACCAGATGTTCTCTCTCAATGATTTAGCCCCTAAATAAGTTTTTATCTCAATTATTGTTAAGATGATCCTATCAATTTTCTTATTATTTTGAGTAATTGTTTTTGGCAGCAAAGAAATATTGTCCTTGAAAATCATTCAATCAATCAAATAATGTTTCAATTCGATCTTAAAAAATCAAGGATAACCTCTTTATATTATTTGTAGGATGCTAGCATAATTCTATACATCAGGCAATATAATGTATGTTCATGCCACATGTTATTTATGAAAAAAGAGGATTGTTTCCATATCACCAGAAGGGTTGATTGATTATGATAAATTTCTTTTAAAAGTGTGTAATGATGCAAAGGAGCCAAATCATACAAAAAATATATAGTTGATAAAATGTATCCGGCCAACGGGTCAGGTCCGTTATCTAGTCGTTTTTAAGAGGATGCTTGACACTTTAGCTTTTATCCCCAAGTACACTCCAATATGATGACGTTTTTTGAGTACCACCTCTTGGTCTCTTTTTTCTTCTTTTTGTTAGTCTTTGTGTGCTTCTTGTTCTTTTAGGGTTTGGCCTCTTTCTTTATGAAGAGTCTTGTCGATATCTAGTAAAGAACAAAAAATGATATTTACTCACCCTAAAGGTTATGCATATTCATACTAGTTAACATTATTTTGTTATTGACAACCTACTCTCGTATTGTTCAACCAAACACAACAAAAAAAAGCCACTAAAATGCCAATTCGCAAAATTCATAGAAACAACCTAAAAAAGATATGGTATAGAGAAACCGTAACAAAATATATGACCTCTAACACATAATTTTATCTGTTACTCTCCACGAAATGCGGAGTGAAAAAATGTGAAAAATGTGAACCTAAAAAGGATTGAGTTACTCGGTTTGAAAACAAATTTAGAAAGAAGAGGGAGAAAATGAAAGAAGTTGACTGGTATCTCTATGTTGGGAAACCTAAAAAACTTACGGGAAAAGATTACCGCAGTTATAAAAGCATTTTCATTTTCTCTCCTAATTTGTGGGAATGTGTTTTTCTTTCTAGCGCAGGCATTTAAAGGCCCTCTTACTCCTTTTTCTTTTCCTTTCCCCTTCTTTTCCTTACCCTTTCCATTTTCCCTTTCTCTTTCTTGAAAATTAATAATTTCTTTTCAAGAAAGAGAATATATTAGTCATGGCTAAGTACATGGAGATCTTAGACGTTGGCATTAGGATCGTTGCAAGATTTCACTCTCATTGCCCTCAGACTGCTCGGCTGTACTACCACCCGCCCGTTGACAATCACCATGAGCAAGGTGGAGTTAGTATCAATTCTACTGGAGAGGCAACCATCAACAATAATTGCATCATCCGATCAGGTTCCTCTGCTATGTTGAAGGGGGCAAATAATGTTGGTGTGGACTTTAGAGAGTTTGTTTTTCATTGTTCTATTTAATTATAAGGAGAATTAAGGTAAAGGGAAAATGGGGAAAGGGAAAGTGGAGGAGAGAGAGTTCAATATGTATAATTGAGTTTTTACATATTGAAATAGGTTTTTTTAAGTCATCATGCGCTAGGGAATGCTATTATAATTTACTATGTAGGATCTATATGTTAAACATTGAGAAATTATATTTTAATGTAATTACTCATGTTTAATTATAACAAATTTAAAAAAGTAACATACAAAAGTTAAAATTGATTTAATTTAGAGAGTTGGCTTATTGTATTTTCTTTAGTCTCTTGAGTTGTGAAGACAAGGTAATATAAGAAATAATGCTTTTATTCACACCTTTTCCCTTATTAGGGTCTTCGAGCCACCTTCTTTTATAGTTGATTGAGAGAATTCCTATTTATTTCGAAATGCATTTTTAAGAGAAGCTTTATACACATGGCCAAATCTAGCGTAGGCATACCTAAGTATAGAGAGTGAGAGCAAAGATTTGTATTTGTTTATAAATTCTTCATGTGAATGGGTAGTAGCCAAAATAGACCGCCTTCAGTTCCGGATTTTATCCTTAGAATGGATGTTATCCTGTGTTCAGTAATGGAATGTAGAATTCTCCCCTATCTCGTTTAAGGCCGAATACGCAAAATTGAATCCCCTGATCGATAGTTCGATAATGATTTCTGATACTATGCAATTTGTGCGACCAGCCTGGCGTATAAATGCATGCTTCACATCTACCTGATATACTTCGACTAATCAGAAACTTTAGTTATTAGTTACACTAATCACGCCACTGGTTCACCCATTAGAGGTCAATGTATAATATCATACCTCAAACTCTAGTTAATTTATGGTCTAAATAGTGAAATTCATTGGGCATATGCAAAGGTTAGCGTATGCCAAGAGTACGCTAACATTTGTCATATATATTGTTTACTCATAAAAGTTTACCTTATACCATATTGTTTAATCACAAGGGATTTAAATGGGTTTATAGAGGGCTAAATTACACATTTGGTCACCCGAATTACATAAATCTTTCACGTTTGTCACTCGATTTTTTCCCCTTTCGTATTAACCACTAACTTTACGATTCGTTTCACTACTAGTCACCGGCCGTTAGTCTTTGTCAAACTCTGTTAACACCGTCAAATTTTTGATGATGTGGCAAACGAGAGTGCTGACTGGGTTGACAAAAAGGCTGAGTCATGCTATTTGACCTCCTAGTCAGCACAACCCAACCCAGAAAAAAAAACCCAAAAAAGCTATAAAAAAAAACCCCACCCAATGATATGTCTGCCTAAGTGCCAGAGCCATTTCTCTGAGGCCTAAGTTGGTGACCATCCCTTTGTGGCATCAATGGTTGGCGGTTCCTCTCCCTTGCATGGGAGGTCAACTAGTCTCAATAGGCTAGGTGTCAAAGTGTGTGTGTAACAAACCAGTTTGTATGAGACTGGGCTTTAAAGAAAGTCTGAAATCTAGATGGTGGCTACCTGACTGGGTTCCAAGCTGGCAAGGAGTCAGGTACAAACTAGGGGGTCGTCCTAAAACTAAGTATGGAAACCAAGTTAGAAAGGTAAAAGGGTACTAAACAAGGCCAAATGACTAGGTACTGAACTAACAAGGTGATAAGGTACCAATTAGGGAGTCATCCAAAAACTAAGTTTGGAGATCAAGCTGGCAAGTTGTAGGGTACCAAGTTGATAAGGGGACGAGGCAACAATGCAACATGACAGAGTACTAAGCCGGCAAGGCTACAAGGTACCAAAATAAGGGGTCTCCCAAAAACTAAGTATGGAGACCAAATTGGAAAAGTGAGATGGGATCAAGCCGACAAGATGGTACCATGTCGAGCTCTGATAGATATGTATGGAATATTGATGGGTAAAGGAACATGTACTTAAACATGGAAGGATTTAAATTATCATCCTACCAAGATGGATGACAAGGCCTAGATAGCAAGATGGATTCATCAGGTGGTTAGCAAGAAATAAGCTAATAATGGATCCATTGAAGGAACCAAAGGGGTTCTCAAGAAGTCATCATTGCGGAAAGACAAGGAGGCTTCAACCAAGTCTAGTTAGGCAACAAGACTTAGTGAAGCTCAATTCAACACCAATCCAACTCAATGTCAAGGCCATCAATTTGATACCAATTGTCATCAAGGCTACAGTAAGGGGTCCCCCGAGATGGCTGGGGCCGCAGACTAGCTAGTTGTTATCAAGGCAAGACGAGGGGTCCCCGAGGCAGTTGGAGCAATAAGCAAGCTAACGGTTACCAGGGTGGTTACACTTGATGGTTATATATAGTAGAAGCGAAGACAAGAGACAAGTTCCCAAGATAAACATTTGACACCACAGGTCAAACTTTTATTATTTTTTCTATAATGTAACCATAGTAATTGTCTTTAGTTTTCAGAGCTCTCACTGGACTTTGATAGAAATATAGTAACTTAAATTAGTCTTATTATCCATAAATAAACATAAAAATCCTCATTAGCACTTTGTTTGAAGAGGTGAATCATGATACTAATCATTGTCCAAAAAAGTCATAGGTGCAATTAGGGGTGGCAGTTCGGTTGTCGGTTAGCGGCTAACCGGTCGGTTAGACCGATAACCGCCGGTTAACGGCTAACCGAAAACCGACTGTACACAGCCTCGGTCGGTGGTCGGAGCAGCTGGTCGGAGCGTCGGCTAGCCGAGCAACCGAAATCAGTTAACCGAGCTAACCGGGGCTAACCGAGCGTTGAAAACCCTCACTCAAACGCTGTCGTCCTACCCTAAACGACCGACTATTTAATAACCCTTCTCCTTCGTCGACCTCGACCACTCCCTTCCCTCACCCGTCACCACCAGCAACCACCCTCCGTCGTCTCCACCATCCAATCCAGACGGCCAAATCCCCTCCGCCGACCAAATCCCCTTCGTCGACCAAATCCACTCCCTTCCCTCACCCGTCACCACCAGCAACCACCCTCCGCCGACCCCGCGCGACACCCCGACATCCCTGCTCCCAAATCCCCTTCCCTTCCTCCTCTTCCCAAAACCAAAAGTGAACAGAAAAAACCCCTCTCAATCCAACCCACACAAAAAAGAAGAAGAAGGAAAACCCAACACCCCCTGAATACTCTGTTCACGAAAATGGCCAACAAGAAATCATCAAACAAGCTCCCACAGACGGCCGTAATCAAGCAAATCCTCGAGATGCTCCAGCCTGGGAAAGTGCAACGGCTACCACGACGGCACCTGCGGCGGCCGCCAGCTCGACGTCCCCAAGTGGTCTAAGTTCATTCGCTAGTCCGCCATCTCCCTCCCTCGCCGGTCGCCGACTCGCAAGTTCGCCATCTCCCTCCCCCGCCGGTTCCAGCAATCCCCCACGGATCAATCATCGCCCACCGCCAATCGCCCACCGCGCAACCCCTGTCAAGTCTTTGAATTGGAGGCTGGTGGAACCGTGAGAAGTAGATAAGGATTGAGTGGTGGAGGAAGGTGAGAGAAGGAAGGAGATAATTTTAGGTTTGTGTGGTGGCTGGTGGTGTTTGAAAAAGTGGAAGCAGATAAGGATTGTGTGGTGGAGGAAGTCTCTGTGTTTTTTTTTTTTTTGTGAAAGTTTTTTTTTTAATTAGCTAAACGCTGACGTTTTAGAGGGAAGAGGTATTTTTTTTCGGCTATATGGTTAACCGAGCCTAAAACCGAAAACCGATCGGTCGGTGGTCGGTTGCCCGTGGCTCTCTCACGGTCGGTGGTCGGCAGCCGTGTTGGGTGTCTCGGTTTAACCGAAAACCGAGTTTTCGGTTTTTGGTTAAACCGAAACCGACCGGTTGCCACCCCTAGGTGCAATCCATTAATTTAAAACAAGTTTTCTCATTAAAAAAAATTCGGCACACATGGTGGGACAATTGTGTTTGATTTGATGGATCCAAAATAGAAACAAAAAGAAGTTGAACTTAACCTGGGTTAGTGAAGGAGTTGGTAGACAAGTTTGAACTTGGCCAAGCAACATAAAATGTTATCGGAAAGCAATGGCATGGTTGATGAATTACCCTAACGAAACCTTCATTCCAATTTATAGTGGAGGATAACAACCAAGGAATGGAAGAAAACCACAGGTTCATGGGGGAGGGTTTGGATGGAATTGTTAGAATTTCAGGACAGATAAGGCTCAAATTGGCTTCTCTTAACGAATTATTTGAACCTTTTAGTTATACAACAGATAAACATTTGAATCAATTATTTGAAGTGGTCAATATAAATAAAATTTATTTTGATAGATTTAGGAGGTTTTGACCACCCCAGGTGTGAAATCAAGAGATTTGTCAATAGGTGGCACAATTTCAAAAACTAACAACACTACTAGAAATGCAAATCTTTCTCTCGCCAATGGCTAAAATGGCCAACCACGACAAGGTAACTCATCGCATTCAGAGACTAACCAACCACCCACTCGACATGGAAGTTGTGGCGATATTTTTTACCCCAGGGTCACCACTCACATAGCGCTATCACTAGTGAAGGAATTAGTCAAGACAACTTCTTGGTGCTTATATCATGTGTTGTACCTTTTAATGGGAAGGCTGGTGAAGATCCATTCAATGTGAATCTGCACGCTCGTGAGTCGAGATTTGAATTTCTAAAGTTGAAGCGCACCTACTTTAACCCTAACAAAGAAAAGTATATCGATGCTAGGCCTGTAGTACAATGGCTATGTCGTATTCTAAGTGAACCTTAGGCTTACTATTACTTCGCTCCGAACTACTATCTAATCAAATTGGAAGGTTGGGGGTAGAACTAACCTAACCTAACTAAAAACAACCAACCAATTGGTTGGGAGACCGCTAGAGATGAGATGGATTTCTAGGTTCGATTCCCTCTAGCTTTAGGTTGATTAGGGCTACAATCTAACGCCATTTTGAGGTGCGGAGGTCACAAAGATGGGGATCGACTCAATGGTCATGCAATCGACCCCCCTCCTAGCTAGGTGCACCGGTACAATGTCACCTCAACTGG